ACTTCTATAAATCGAAAGGAGACTGCGACCATAACAGAGGCCACAACATCTTGGTCTTCATATATTTTATATTATGTTTATATATATATAATCTTCTGGTAATCTCCAAAATCTAGTTATAAACGAAAAATAAGTAACGCAGCAATCCCATAACATAATTTGATATATGAAAATGCCTGGTCTTCTTTGGAATGCACATCTGCCCGGTGATCAAACGACACTTGTCATTTTGACCTAGTAGGTAACGTGTAAGCTTATGCGCTGCACTGTCATGTTTTGAGTCCCGCTGAGGACGTTATTAACACCTAGTCGAGGTCGAAACTGCAGTCCACCGTGGACTATGTGAGATTCAATGAAAACGTTGAGTCTTTTCATTTTTGGGGAAAATTCAAATGCCAGTCCTCTTATCAGCTTAAACTAAATAGGATGGCCACACTAATAGTCTCGAAAACCCACTTATAAACGAAAAATATGTATCTATTTGTTTTCGAACAGCTTTGGCCATAAAGATTGTTTGTGAAGGAATGAAACTGAACGCATAATAACGTTGGAAGTGTTAAAGATTTTCTTGTATCCTGCTTTTCAAACCAAGAGAATTTTTTCTCTATAATTTGTTCAAAAAATAATTTGTCCTGATTCATGGGTTCTGATTCTAATATTTTGTATCTCTTGGCTATTTTAATCAAATTAAGTCTGGTCCAAACGGCAGTTGCATCTAAGTCCATATGAAGTTACTTATTAACTTATACGTGTGATATCAGTACTTTATATTTTACAACGCAGAGCTTCCTGCTGCTTTAATGCGGGCAATATAATAACTGATTAATTCTTATTAAAGTGTCTTCATTACAAAATAATGATTTTTGGTGCAGTAGAATAGCTTAATGTATTTTTCAAGAATATAGCCAAATTATTTGTAAAATGTATGCGATAACATTTATTTATAATTGATGTTGCAATCCTCAACCCCATCGTTTTCTCTATTTCTCAAAATAACTTGCTTTTTTTCAAATTTTTAGTTGCTGCTGACTTTTGCTCATATTTTTCTTATTCGAGGCAGCCTATGTGTGTTACGGGCACTACAGCGTGACAGCCATCTACCTGTTAACCCAGCATATGCGGCTCGAAATCAGCCTGACTACCAGACTGTTCGAGACTCCCTTGTTGAGCTAGTCAACCTGGCCGATCCTGTAGAAGAATACACTCGGCGGTTGGGCGTTCTTGTCAACCAGCCCTATTCGCCACTGGTTGAACTCGACTTTGACTCTGAAGCTAATTATGGCGGAACCCGCTCGGGGGGCTCTGCAGCTTTATTCGCCAGGTCACATGCTTACCTTACTGGGCCTCAATTCACGGAGGAGCCAACTGAACAACTGTATGCAAACGCAGCACATCTATTTGAAACCGCCCACCTTCGCCTCCTACAGGCTGACCAACATGATCAGCTGCAACAGGAGCACCTAATATCTTGGGAGGCTTCAACGACTCAGCCTTGGGCTGGTCGGCTAGGGCCTCCTGACAGTCCAATCCTGCTTAAATCTTTGGCCAAACACAATGCAATCGCTTGCCGTATTTTGGCCGCTAGACCGGATCGCAGGCCTAGGCCTATGGAGCGAATGACCCTTGCCACTGAGGGCGTAGTGTTTGCTTCCAAAGAGCAACCTAGTGAAGTTTCTCCACTACCTGAAGACAATGGGGCTTCAAGCTCGTATAATGCTTCTACTCGAACCTCTTTGTCCCTTAATACTTGTATTCCCAAATCCTCTGAACCCGCTGTTTCTTGTAAACGTCCTCTAATACACTACTATCCCACTCATCACAGCCAACAACAACATCATCTTGGCCTGCGCTGCCGACCATATCTTCCTCCAAACTGTCCTGTTGAAATGGTTTTCACTTTTCTGCCCAGTCGCATGTATCCATTGATCCGCCTTCTCACCACATGCTCAGAATCCAAAACGTAGTATGATTACGTTGGTCCTGAAATAACATACTCTTAGCTTTCCACGCTTCCTTTGTGTTGATAGGATATTCACGCTCTAACCTTACCATTATTGATTCATTTTCGGTCGTTATCCCCCCATACAAACATTAATTCTCTCATCGATCTATCCATTTGTTTATTCGGCAAATAATTTATTCATATTACTTCTTATTTCTTTTTCATTCATCTCGCTGTCTATAAATGATCTTTGCTTAATTGTTGTATAAATTTATAGGCAATACTTTTCTACTTTTAACTCATTTTTTCTAGTCCCACTTTTGGTGAAGTTGCCCAGTCTCTTTCGGGCTAAATTGCCCTATCCTTTCTCTCTTTAAACGCTTGAGTTATCAGACATAATTCTATTGACTGATCTCTAAATCTAAATCATTTACTGATCAATCATAGAATACTAATTTTCCTGTTTGCTACAATGTGATCAGTCAATTGTTATAATAAATTTGGATATTTGATCGTTTGCGTTCAGTAACTCAATTCGCTTTTCTTTAAGCATTTCCACTTGGATGTAGGATTAATATAAGAGTCTCGGTGTTGCCAAACTTGGTCCTTCAAACCAACTCACATTTTCTAAAATTTTGCTTTTGATTCTGCACCACGCCTATGAGGAATTTACCGTATTTGTGCATATAATCCTTTTATAACATTTAGCTTCGTAAATGAGTTATCTCAGAAATCATCTCTCCTGTTTGGGCATCTCTACTTTTTTGGCTAACTACTTTATCATATTCGGATAAGAGTAGGGTTTCGAGACTGCCAGTAACGAAAAAATTAATATCGTCGGTTGCTATGGCAAATATTAATTTGCTTTATCGGCAATTTGGCCAAATAATGTGATTTGGGACAATGCCTGATCTTCCTTTGAATTCAAATCTGTCATGTGACCCAAGGGGACTCGTGGTAATGTGGCGTTTCGAGATCACACGCTGCACTGTCATAGTTCGTTTCCCACTGGGGGTGTCGATAAGGCCTAGGCGAAGTCCAAACTACAGTCCACTCTGGATGAGAACACCTTTTGGGAAAGCGAGGCTATGTGAAATTCAGTGGAAACGTCAGTCCTACTCGTATCATTGCTGGAAAATTCAATTACCAGTTCTTCCTCACCCTAAACAAAATAGAGTTAATACAGCTCATACTTTATTAA